AAAATGAATCCAAACATGGGATAAAACCCATTTTAAATTAAAAATTAATGACATGTAATATTTAATATTAATTTAAAATTAGAAATATCAATTTCCCCCTTGGCTTTGTTTTGGATTTTGTTGTCCAGGCACTTTTGGCGGTGGGGGAGGGGAGAGATATTTTAATTCCTAGTGTTGGTGATTGTAACACAAACTGGTTTAACCTGAGAAAGAAAGAAAAAATCAGTGAAATTGACGGTCTTTCATTTCTCTTAAAATTTCTTAAGACTCTTAGCTGGGAAACTGTTGTCATACAGACCAGTGGTTTCCAAGCATAGGTCCTGAGATGTTCTTGACCTGCAACTCCCAGAAGCCCTTGCCAGCACGGCTAGTGGTGAAGGAATCTGGGTGTTGCAGTCCAAGAATGTACGTGGATCCAAGGCTGGAAACCACAGTCAAAAGCAATCTGTGGTAGAACGTTTTAATGAGCCCTTCAATTCCAATAGGGGCTCCCTTCAGTTACTGTTGGATTGCAGGTGATGGGAGTTGTAATCCAACACCTATGAACCTTTGACCAGGAAAGGTCACATCAGGGACACATGATGCAGCATGCGAGCACAAACACAAACACACACACACACACACACACACACACACAGAAGCCAAACAAGAGAAAATTGTACAAAATTTATATATATATATAGATTTTATTGAATAGTTGATTTGACGTGGTACAGAAAACCACCCATAGAATTATTTCTTTCATTTCAGCAGTGGTTCAGTAACAGTTTAAATAGAGTTGCAAGAGAAAGAAGAATGAAGAGGGGGAAAATAAATCCAGATGCACAACTAAGGCAGTTCTAATAAATAGTTAGGCTGCAGATTTTTTTTTTAAAAAAAACCCTTTAAAATAAACTTTTCAAATAAATATTTTGCTTTCTTTTTCATGGTAGGAGTGTGGCAGGAAAATATATATATATATATATACACAAACAAGAAAGTATTATTATGAGCAGATATGCTTTTTTTTATATAAAGGTGAGAGTAGGGGGGTGAACATCATTTTGGAGGGCAGACCACACAGAACGGCTTTTCGGATCTGAGAAGTGGGTGCTTTGTGGAACTCAAAAAAAGGAAGAAAGGAAGGGCCCAAAGCAGAAGCCATTCGGAGACATGACGGGAGGAATCTTCAGAGTCAAGTTGGTCTTAAAAGCAGAAGACGGAGCAGCGGGGAAGAGAACTCTTTGCTTGGCGCCACGTGGTCCCAGAGACTTTGAAATGTTTTCATTTTTCCGGCGAGACTAAGGAACAGACGTGTCTCTGTCTTCCTGAATGAAATGGAGAAAAACGAGAGCCCGCGGGTTGCTCTGGAAAGGACTCGAGCGCTAAGCACAAATTAATTTTCAGGCTTAGTCACAGTGACCCTCGGCTCCCCAGGTGATGCTGGATTGCAGTTGCCCCTGTCCTCCATTGTTGGCTATGGGGAGAGGGATGGGAGGGACAGGGGTAGGGGCACAGCTCCCCCCCACCCCTATTTTAGTGCAACTCGCTCAAACACCTACTATTCAGGTATCAGGAGAAAGAGGACCCGTTCCCACATAAAGGCGGCGGGCAGGACTGGACAAACCACAAAATGGCACAGGAAAGAATAACGGGTGTTCAAGCGTTCAAATACCCCCAAAGGAGACCATCTCCAAACTAGCCTCAAACCATCAGCAGAAGCAACATTTGGAAAGGCCACCTCTTCAAACTACGATGCCCAGAAGCCCTCAGCCATGCTGTCTGCTACAGGTATCTGGGAGTTGTAGTTCTAACCTCTGAAAGCGCCCATTTAGGGAGCCCTTGAGAGGGTCCCCCTTTCTAGTGATGCAGGAAAACTCTCAGGGGAAAGCCCCACACGTTGATCCAATAAAAACCAAACGGTCTGAAATTGACATAATTCAGCGAGCTGCATGGAAGCAGGAAAACTCTCAGGGGAAAGCCCCACATGTTGATCCAATAAAAAACAAACAGTCTGAAATCGACATAATTCAGCGAGCTGCATGGAAGTATCAGGAAGCCAAGCCTTGGATATGGCACCGTTCATAGCATCTTATCGTCACAGGCATGATCTATAGTATTCCTAAGCCTTTGTAATACTAGTTGTGTGTACATCAAAATAATGGGAGGAAAGGCTTTATGAGGGTCTTATGCCAAGGCCTGCAGCATTTGAAAGGGCTTTGGAAGGAGAAACACCCTATGCCAGGTACACCCACTGCCTTCAAAGCGTCTAATTAACAAGGTGCTGGTTGCATTCTAGGACATGTGCCCAGGAATGCAGCCAGCACCTCACTAATTAGCAACCATTTGCCACCACAACATATGTCATTTCATTTTCACAAGTCTACACGTATGTAAGTGAAACTTCGTTAAGTTGTGGTGACAAATTGCCACTAATTAACAAGGTGCTGGTTGCATTCTAGGACATGTGCCCAGGAATGCAGCCAGCACCTCACTAATTAGCAACCATTTGCCACCACAACATATGTCATTTCATTTTCACAAGTATACACCCACTGCCTTCAAAGTGTCTAGGTCAACCCCCCACACATATACACCAGGTATTCCCAAACTGTGACAACCTGCAAGTTTTGTCCTCCCCAATGAGCCAGCAAAAGGATTGGCTTTATTGGCTGCGATACGACAAAAGTTTCGTCCAACACATTGAGAGAACACCAAGTTAAGGAAAAGGTTGTCTAAAATGGTGGTCCCCAGTTTTGGGCCTCCAGACGTTCTTGGACTACAACTCCCAGAAGCCTTCACCACCACCACCTCTGCTGGCCAGGATTTCTGGGAGATGAAGTCCCAGAACATCTGGAGGCCCAAGGTTGAGAAGCACTGGTCTATAAGACCTATGAAAAAGGGAGCAATTCAATAAGCAAACCCAAGCCCACCAGGTTCTTCCTTGACACTCAGGGGCAGAAATCCAGCTGTAAGACACAACAAGAGTATGCCCATTGAATCAATGGAAAATATGGACGAGTTGACCCACCAAATCCCCACTGATGCAATGAATGGGCTTACTTATGTTGTGACTTACTACTGGATTTCAACCAGTGTTTGCTGGCTTTGACTTCCAGGTTTGTTCTCATGTTTAGAACAGAAGAATTTGGCCACTTGGCAACGAGGAACAAGGATCTGTATCCCACAGTTTGCTCACTCCCTAACTCAATAATCCAGAGGTGGGCAGCCTGCTGCCTTCCAGACGCTGTTGAGACCACCATCTCCCCTGAGCTCTGACCAGTATAACCAGTGATAAAGACGGATGGGTGCTGCAGTCCAACATCAAGCTTCCCTGCAGAGGTGACTTCTCTTGACTTCTATCATTCAGCAGAGTTCAGAAATTCCAGATGCTGTTGAGACCACCATCTCCCCTGAGCTCTGACCAGTATAACCAGTGATAAAGACGGATGGGCGCTGCAGTCCAACATCCTCAGATGGGCCAAAAGAGAGAAAGAGAGACCAAGTCTTGGTTAGCCGCAGAAGGCTCAAGCTTCCCTGCAGAAGTGACTTCTCTTGACTTCTATCATTCAGCAGAGTTCAGAAAAGTTACTTTTTTTGGATCACAGCTTCCAAAGTCTCCCCTCCACACCTGCTAGGTGGATACTGGGAGCATTAGAAAAGATAATTTTGCTCCTGCTCTACTATTAATCCATTTAACTCAGTGTTGCTGGCAATGATTGGGGGCATGTCCCCAAGGTCAGGCAGAATCCCTCCCCTCCTTCTTTCTGGAGATGCCCTGGATCGAACCTCAGCCTTTATGCTTGCAAATCACAAGCTCTGCCCCTGAGCGATATGCCTTCCTCAAGCCTTCCTGGGAGTCAGCCCTTCCTTCCCTACACATGGGCCAGAATCCAATCAGAAGTCTACACCTATGTAAGTGAAACTTCGTTAAGTTGTGGTGACAAATTGCCACTAATTAACAAGGTGCTGGTTGCATTCTAGGACATGTGCCCAGGAATGCAGCCAGCACCTCACTAATTAGCAACCATTTGCCACCACAACATTATGTCATTTCATTTTCACAAATGTACATCACCAGTTGGATTCTGGCCATTGGAGCACAAAGTTTTCCAGAACCGTTGTACTACCTCCTACCTCTCTATCCTGCAAATGGGAACTGGTTAGGCAGTGACAAGTCAACAAGACCCGCACTTATTGGACTGCACGTGTCCAGTTTTGCCCCTAAAATTGAAAGCGACCGCATTACTGAAAGCTAAACATTCAGGCCCAGAAAGGTACACATGTCCATTCTTGCCCTTATCCATTTCTCACTGTTTCAAAGAGTAAATGTGCCTCAGGGCTGCTTGCTTAAAAGCATTTGTCTTAAAAAGAATTATACAGTAGACACTGTTTTTCTGTAGGGCAAGGACACGGTTCTGTCACAATTCAACTTACACGAGGCCAAGAAAGGATACTGCTGAATCTTGAGATGATGAATAGGGAGGGAGGGATCAGCTGCTGAACTGACGTCCTGAGCTAGGTTATGCAAATGGCTGGATTTAATAAATGAGCCGAAAAGTATCACCTCTAATCACAGCGATGCTTTCAGAAATTGGAAAAGTACAGTAATGCCCCACTTAACGATTACCCCATATAACGACGAATCCACTTCACGACGATGATCGCAAAATGATGTTTTAAATGGGTTTTTTTTCGCTTTGTGAAGATCAGTACCCTACTTCGGGAACCAATTCTTCGCATTACCATGATCAAAATAGCTGATTGTCAGGTTTTCAAAATGGCCGCCGGGCGCTCAAAATGGCTCCCCGCTGTGTTTTTGGACGGATTCCTTGCTCTACAGGCAGCGAAAATGGCCGCCCCTCTGAAGGATCTTCGCTGGACTGGGAGTTTTTCAGCCCATTGGAACACATTGAATGGTTTTCAATGCATTTCGATGGGCTTTTTTATTTCGCCTTACGATGTTTTTGCTCTACAGCAATTTCGCTGGAACGAATTAACGTCGTTAAGCGAGGCACCACTGTAAGTTTTTTGGACTCCAGTTCTTAGAACTGGCTGGCAGAGTCTACCATCCAAAAAATAACTTCCCAAGCTCTGGAAGCTGGTTAATGAATTATGGGAACTGTAATACCACCATCACCCTTTCTTCCTAGCTGTCGTGTTGTCTGGTACCTAACACAATAGCTCAGAAGGAAATGAGGCCTCAAGTTATGACATTTAAATTCTGCCCCAGGGCCATCCCAAGACCTTTTGCTGCCTGAGGCTGAGGACAAGGTGATGTTTCTGCCCTGTTCCACTGTACAGAATCCAAGTGGAAATGCAGTTCCATCCTGCTGACGCCATAATATCATCGACCACATCATAAAGATCAGGTGAGCTTAAGGGCGCCGAGACAGCTGGTGCGGTGTAATCATCTCTGCCTGCCCCAGAGAGGGGGACGGCCAAGGTGTTCAGAACACGTAGAGCAGAAACCCCACCATGCTCACCTGCACCAGCCACTCCCACCTGGGGCAACCGCCTCCCTCTGCCTAAGAGCTCAGAGTGGACACAGCCTCTTTTATTCATGTTTTATCCTCAACATGCTTGTGTGACATAGGTGATACTGGGCAAAAGTTACTGGCCCACGGCAGCTTCGTGACTAAATAAAGATTTGAACTGGGGTCAACCCAGATCTAGTCTGACACCCTAAGCACCGCTCCCGATGGGCCCATCTCGTTATAACCTCTCGACTTCAGATAACAGTGTGCACCAATAACATCCACACATATCCATAATGGCAAGAGCAAGCTGTGTCTCAGGTTGTTGCTGCTACGTGAAAGCCTCTTACGAGGCACTCCCTTGACGAGTGGATCCTTTGCTGGACGAGACCCCCTTGAGGGCCGTGAGAGCCCCCAACTGTCTTGAAGAGCTGCTTTTAGGCTCAGCTTTGCTACCTCTGCCCCCTGACCTTTCCTTCTTTCCCAACGTGCGCTATGAGGAGGAGAAGCGGAACACCAGCTTTGCACCGTCGCCAGGAGAGAGTGAGAATTAGGTTCTAGAACAGCACGTTCTTTCAGATGCCAGAGTGCAATGACCTTAGTTCCCACCCACCCCCCACAGACCAATTAACTCATAAGGCATTCTGGGGCCAGAAACCCTGAGCCATTCCATAATCATCCTGCACGTTCTCCTCCCAATCCCAACCTCCCCCGGCCACCGCACGCTCCCAGTCCCCCCGGCCACAGAGATTTAGTGCATGCCTCAGCTTCCTGCCTTCAGCCATGATTGAAATGTGCAAAAGCCTCAGAAGCGCAAGGGACGAGAGAGCGCTCTCCGCCGCCACCGAACAACTTCACACAATCCCAAGCGAGCTTCGCCGGCCAGCCGGGGCCGCCCGTTCCATCGTCGCTTGTTTCCCAGCGGGAGGCTTTCAGCTCGGGAAACCGAAAGGCGGACATGGCTAAGAGGATGAGGATGACGAAGGAGAGGAAACCGCCCGTTCCCGTCTCCCTGGACCCCAAGGGAAGTCATACCGGCTTGTCCAAAGTCTTAGGGAAAGCGGCTCCGCTCGTAAAGGAGATCTTCCGGCAGACCGTGTTGGTGTGGTTCCGGCAACGGCAGCCGGGCCGTTTGACAGCGTCGTAGCCCCGCTGGCAGAGTTTGAGGCACCCCAAGGTCGGGAAGTAGCAGCAGAGGCAGGGCATGAACACCGAGAGGAAGCTCATGGCAACCCAGCGGACGCAACACGAGCCCGGGCCGCAGGAGCAGGGGTCGTCGGCGCAGGTGTCCTCGTCGTCCGAGGAGCAGTGGTAGAAGAGGCCCTTGACGCAGCAGAGGCACGTCCCATAGTCAATGAGGTTCTCCGGCGAGCAGAGGCAGCGCTGGTTGCACAGCCAGCAGGAGGGCAAGCTGCGGGCCGCCGCGCAGTGGGCGCACTTGCAGTGGCCGCATTCTTCGCAGATGAAGAGGTGGCCGGAGTGGACGGCGGGGGGCTTCCCGGGCGACCCCTTCGATGCCTCCTCGGGCTTCCGGTCACCCAGACAGGGCTGCATCCGGACCAGCGAGTGCCCGGAGTGAGAAGGCGTGAGGCCGCCCAGCAGCCGCTGCTCAGAGGCCGTGGTGCTGTGTGAGAGAGAGCTGGCGGTGCTGGAATGGCTCAGCGGCGGCAGCGCCTGGTGCAGCTGGCCCGGCGGAAGGTCCTGGAAGGCCGATGCCAGGGGGCGTTCCTGAGTTGCCTCCGGCTTGGCGTGGGGCTGGGAGAGAGGAAGGCTCAATGGTGCTTGCTTGAAGGAGGCCGGTCTCTCCACATAGTCGTTGGTGGCGCGGATGGCACGGATCTGGTCGATGGAGAGGACTTGCTGGAACTCTTCAGGGACAGGGTCCATGCTGTCTTCGGGGCTGCGCTCGGTGGCGCTCGTGGGGAGGGGCATTCTGGGGAAAGTCTTGGGTCAACCAAGGACATCGGAAGACCTTCCAGGAGAAAGAAGAAGACAACACACACTCTGTTAATCACCATGGGAAAATGATCAAGTGAGTCACTGACGGGGCTGGGAAGAAACAGAGAGGATTGGTGTTCTTCCCCATCCCTGGACCCTCCAGATGTGTTGTACACAACCTGCAGAATATGCTTCCTCTAGATACTAAGAGCTACACTCGTTCCTGACCTTGGGCCCCTAGATGATCTTGGACTACAATTCCTAGAAGACTCGGCTAGCATAGCTAGTGGCGAAGGCTTCTGGGAGTGCTAGTCCAAGAACATTTGGGGACCCAAGTTTGGAAACCACTGGTCTAAAATATCTGACAGGCGCCAGGAAAAACAGAGGGAAGAACTTTAGGCTGTGCCTGATAACTCCAGATCGAGGCATTTTAGGGAGAAGAGAAAAATCAGTCAGTCAGTGGATAAGAATCTCTATTCAAAGAGCCAACCCTGGTTAACACTCTTGATGAAACAATGGAGGGAGCAGCTAAATCAGTCACTGATACGAGTAGCTACCCATCTAACACACACTGTATCCCCAACCCTTTAAAAACTCAGTAATACCTGAGGTCTATAACCTCCCTGTCAGATGGGGGCACCACGTCCATGCCCCATGTGGGAGAAGGGAAATCTGAAGAAGATGGTAGGAGTTTTTCAAAGGCAGGTATGTAAGAGAGAGAGAGAATGAGCATTAAGTTTCACTTTGGATTTCACATAACGACATGAGGCCACACCAAACAGCTTCCTTTAAGCTGGTGCCTCCCGGCGTGTTGGACCACAATGCCCATGATCCCTTGCCAGTCCATGGGACTGATGGGCATCGCAGCCCCACTCATCTGGCTGGCACTCGCTTGGAGAAAGCTGCGGTGGGAGAAGAGAATGCAGGAGACACAGCCTGGCCATGGGAAGAGCGAGAGGCAACTCCAGTCACTTGAATAATTCAGCTGCTGGTTTCAGCTCCTGGAAAGGTGAGGACAAAATTCGCAGGCTTCCCATTCATCTCCTCATTGAGGCGGCGGCGGTGGCCCATGCATCTCAGCAATGCTTCGATGTGCCTATTAGCCAGCAGGGGTGTGTGCGCGTTGGAAGGGCTCCCTAGAATCACCTCTCCAGAGAAGCTGGCAGCGCATTCATGGTTTCCAGAGGTGAGCCATGCACAGAGAGAGAAAGAAAAAAAACCACAGACATAGGACTTCCTGGATTGCATTCCTGCCTCCAGCATGGGGAACAGCCCTCATCTAGGATGCCTATAGAGTAAGGCACAGCAGAAGAACCTCTTTGGGCAGGCTTGACCCCACCACAATGCAAAACCAGGAAGCTGCCTTGGGTGACGGAGGGGCTGGCAGGAGCCCTGCCCGTCCTTCATTGCACACTTCCCTCTTTCGTAGGACAGAGCCGTTTCTGCTATACAACCTATCTTGCACCACCTAAGTTAACCGGCTGCCTTCAGGTGGAGGTGACACCTCCATATCGCCAGCACCTGGGAGACCCAGGTTCAAATCCCAGTGGAGCCACGAAACCCGTTGGCCGATCCGGAGTCAATTACTGCGTCCTTCAGCCTGACCTACTTTACAGGGGTGTTGTAGGGATAAAATGGAGAAGAAAAGAGCCATAAATACCTCCTTGATTTCACTAAAGGAAAGTGGGGGGACCTCAGTACCCCAAATAAATAAATAATGGTGTGATTGAGCCCCAAAGTAAGAGTGAATCCTGCTTTCTATGTACTCTACAAACACAGAGAGAGAGAGGGAGAACAGAGGGAGAGACTCATGCTCTTCCTCCATGGTCGGATGACCCCATCACCCCTTTGTGCATGGAGATCAGCCAACTCTGGCACCTATAGGCTCAGGAGCCGTGCTGGTGTTCACAAATGTACTGGAAGTGGACTTGGTTTGAAGGGGAAGAAGGGTCCTCAAAATGGGGTTGCCATCAACACATGCATACTCAAAACAGAAGCCAAAGTTCTCAGACGGTCAAGGAATGGGCCAAACCTTGATGGGGGGAGGGAACCACCGGGTGCAGCCCGCCGGCTGCCAAACAGCCACCAGCTCGGCACCAGGGGTGCCCTCCCCGCCCATGCCACCCTTGGAAGAAGGTGCTGTTAGCCTCTTAAGGTCGACAAACTAGGGCCTCTATAGGAAAAGGATTCTCCAGTCAATGAAGCGAGGACACAGTGGTAACCCAAACCCGTCTGAGCAATGGGAGGGGAGGGGAGGGGAGAAAACAAGGCAGTGGGAAGATTGATTTTTGTTAGCCAGGTTGACCTTGACAAAGAGCAAGAAGATCAAGAACTCTCTTCGCTTGATTGCTAAAAAGCCAGGCAGAGAGAAAAAGAAGCAGCCCGTCTTGATTCCATGAAAAGGTTTTGAGCCTCCAGGCAAGCAGAGGAGAACAGCTTCCAGGAGAGGATGAGAGTCAGCACTCTGACAGTTTGGGGGGGTCTAGGGCAAAAATCTGCATTGCATTGGCATCTGAATATCAAGCTGATCCCCTTCAGTTGGACCAAAGGATACATTCTATGCTCCCAGATCTCACCACGAGCTGTACTTCCCGGGCACTGCCATGTTCGAGTGTTATGGGCCTTCTGGTGTAGCGTGCAATAAAACTGAATATTTTTTAAAAGAGTGGGCATCTTGTATCAGAGAAGAACGTGCTTCCTTGAGCTTTGGGGGAATTATGATGCTCCTCTCAATCCAGGCGCCCATTTGTGGAGCACCTTGTTTTAACACAAACGTCTGCTTTATAGTGATGTGCCACTGTAGCGCCAACATGCATTGGAAGGCTGCAATGCTGGGGGGCGGGGGAGCAGAAAAATGGCCTTGGGAACCACATGGGACAAGTGCTGAAATTTCATCCTCAGCTGGTGGAGAAGATCGGGCCTTGGGAACCACATGGGACAAGTGCTGGAATTTCAGCTGGTGGAGAAGATCTTTGCTTCACCCTTCACTTGAGTCCCTGTCTTGATAGCAGGACTCTGGTTTTCAAAAGGGCTGTGAAGACTTAAAAAAAGGTAAAGAATTAAAAATAAACCCATCTTCTGTTCCACACCTTGGTGGAGGCAGTGGTTACTATTTCAGGCTACTTTTTTCTTCTTAATCCATTCTCTGTTTCTTTGAGAAGGGGTCCAAACTGTCAAGGGACTCACCAGCACCCTTCACTTGAGTCCCTGTCTTGATAGCAGGACTCTGGTTTTCAAAAGGGCTGTGAAGACTTAAAAAAAGGTAAAGAATTAAAAATAAACCCATCTTCTGTTCCACACCTTGGTGGAGGCAGTGGTTACTATTTCAGGCTACTTTTTTCTTCTTAATCCATTCTCTGTTTCTTTGAGAAGGGATCCAAATTGTCAAGGGACTCCCCAGGTCCAATACCGATCTCCGGAGCCTCCTAGCCTTGGATGTGGCTCTTGGTGACTAATGCCTGGTCGTCTGTAAGTCAAGGGTCCACTGTACCGATCTCCGGAGCCTCCTAGCCTTGGCTGTGGCTCCTGATGACTAATGCCTGGTTCCCTGACCCTTCAAGTAGAAGGAAGCAGGAGAAGCAGCCGTTAAAGTCGGTATACCTTGTCACCTGACTATCTCTGAGAGGTGGTGAGGACTCAGCCCAAAGGGCAAGGCCCAGGAATGCAGGACAAGGAGGAAGAGGTGGGTGTGGACAGGGCAGCCCTGAGAGATGCTTGCCAAAGGGACCCCAGAATGCCCTCAGCCAAGAGCATGCTGCCAAGCTCTGTACCTAAACCTTCCCCATCCCAATTTCTTCCCCAGTGCTTAGAGTCTTCCTTCAGGCTCTGGACTTGGGGCCACAAAACCTGTTGCCATTCTAAAAGTGTCTCAATCTCAAGGCGACGCATCTCTCTCTTTGCTGGGATAAGTAGAAGAACACTTGCTGGAGGCATTCAACACAACGTTAGAAGCACTAAAAGAGAAAATGGGCCCACCATCTGTCAGATCTGCTTTGATCTGGATTCCTGCCCCGAGCAGGAGGTTGCGCTCAGGGACCTCACAGGCCCCTTCCAACTCCATGATTCTATGATTGTATGACTTGCTATCCTCTGGGTGGGTCCACTCCACTATGGCATCTTTGACATACACGCAGACAGATACCCACAGGCACAAGCCCAAAACCCTGAGCCTGTCCAAAAGCAGCAAATGAGACTCTCCTAGGAGTTTGCGACAGTGAAAGTTAGACCCTGAACTGCACAGTGTGGCTGCCTACCATTATCAGCTGGAGGAACAACCACCTCATGCCTCTATATCCAGAAAAGGGGTAGGAGAAGAGCAATAGCGATGTAGTAACACATGGATTCTCTGTCTCTTTCTTAAAATCCCCATCCAAACACTTTCAAAGGGCTTGAGTGGGCTTTCCCTATTCCTATACATTTATAGGCTGTAGAAGTTACTTTTTTTGGAATACAGCTCTTGGAATATGTAGACAACACAATCAGGAGTGGGCTTTCCCTATTCCTATACATTTACTGTATAGGCTGTAGAAATTACTTTTTTGGAATACAGTTCTTGGAATACGGTATGTAGACAACACAATCAATGGTTGGGGGATTCTGGGATTTGCAGTCCAAAAAATTCTGCACAGTGATGCAATGATGTGTTAAAGGTATTGACCCTAATGGACAGGTGAAACTCCACAACAGGCAAGGGACTGGATGATGTCCACAGTAACCTACAAGTCTGGTTTGAACTACATGCCTTGCAGTTGAGAGGCATCCGTCCAAGTGCAAAGAAACAATCCTCTAATAGGGGGGAAAGAAAGAGATCCTAGTGTTAGGCGGCAAAGAAACTGGCTGGATAGCTCAGTGGTTAGAGGTTAGGAGTTCAATTCCCCACTGGGCCTCTTGAGAGAAGAGCCAGCCTGGGTGGCCTTGGGCAAGCTGCAGTCCCAGGGCACCCCCTAGAGGAAGGGAAGGGGAAACCACTTCTGAGTACTCTCTACCTGGAAAACCCTGAAAAGGGTCACCATAAGTCCGAAATGATTTGATGGC